TTTAAAATTTTGAATGCAAATACCATATATGGGATGTGTTATTAAATATCTTCAATAATAAACTTTATGAAATGGATATGAAAATACACAAATAAATTTAATTACAACCATTATAAATAGTCAATATATTTTTAAGGAAAGCATTTTCGAAAAAATAATAATCTATGCTATATAATAGATGAATAAGGAAAATAACAAATGATTTTGATAAATTTTAATTCAAAATCCAAGTTCCCAAAGAGTTTCTTCCTGTTTACTTTTCTTTAATTATATTTTTGATATTGTTTTCTAAAACGATGATCAAATTTGCCAATTATCTGTTACTAAATAATGATTGCGATAATTCGTGTTAAAACCATTTCAGGTATTTCATTTCAGCGCATGCGTGTGTGTGCGTGTGTATTTCAGATATCTGTAATAGTCTCCAAGGGATGTCAAATATGTCAACTCTGTTTCCGTTTTTTTTTTGTTGCTTAGTTTAAAATTATTGGGCCTTCAATTCAAATCTTCATTTATAGCAAATCAAACAAAAACTAAAATATTACATTTGTCAAGTAGGGTTATATATAGATAATTGCCTTTTCAAGAATCACTTTTATTGAAAAAACAGGCCTAGTAAAAATGTCTTCATTTCTTTCCAGTTTCAATCAGGGAAAATAATAGTTTTTAATTGAGAAAAATTTAAATAATACCACAGAATATTTGAATTTTTTATCAGAAATATATGCATTTATTTCCAAACTTTGAAAAATTCTATTGTCACATTTATCCTTTCTAAAATTAAACACCAAATAATTAATGATATAACTGATTGTATGATTTTTTTTATCAACTTAGCAAAAATTTGGTTGTTGGTTGATTGGTTGGTCTGACCCCTCGATCGATAGATTGGTTGATTGGTTCCTTGCTGGTTGGTTAGTCGCCAGACTCCTCAGTTGATTGCTTGTTAGTTCAACTCCTCGGTAGGTTGGTCGTTGATCAGACTAACCGGTTGCCCGACTCCTCGATTCGTCGCCGGTTCTTCCGACTGCTCGGTTGATAGGTTGATTAGTTGGAATCGGACTGCCCGGCAGGTTGCTTGATGATCAGACTGCCCGGCAGGTTGCTTGATGATCAGACTGATCTCCTCACCCCCAATCCGGTCCTTTTATATCGCAGACATTTGTAAGGAGGAGCTTACAATGAACGGAATTGCCATGCAAGGATAAGGATACGGTTCACCAAAAAATGGTAATTCACATGACAAGGAACATACTCGTGAGAAGAAAACGGTTTTATAATCTGAAGACGGCTAAACATGATGGGAACGTGTAGATTAGTTATTTGGAGCAAAAATAATTGAGATAATGATTAAAGTGCGAGTTAAGTTTGAGAATGTGTAAATTAACGGAAACATTACAAATGATGAATCATTAAGAAGAAATCTTTAGTATAATTNTTTGGTTTGGCTATGTGATAGATATTGGATTGAAATTAATTTCGGGAAGTTTCGAGTTTGTTCTCGACAGTTGCTTCTTTATATTTGACCTTATTTATACTTAAAAACTTTAATTGGTATTATTATTTCACCGTATTTTGAGTATTCTAGTCCTAGCTATAACAACAATTTTTAGCCAGAATGATTTATTCAACTAGGCTCTTTCTTAACTGATAAGCTTTCGAGTAAAGCTATTATCACTATTTTTCATTTGTGATTTAACATTTTTTTAACAGCGAATGATTTCATCTCTAACACTTATCAATTACTAAAATATTGCAAATATTCTTTGAAGCAAAAACCACAATTTTTGTCATTCAATAAAGTTTTGCTCAATTCAACTTAAATCTGCACCATTTATTTTCTTTCATCTCCAATAAAAGTTTTAGATTGAAGCAATTGAATGAAATCGAAGTGCTTTTTTTTTTCTAAAATTAACTCACTTATCGTTGAAACTTTCAAATTTGCCACATTAAAGAGATTTGTTCAAATTTTTAAAAGTTCCTTCGTTGTCATTTCAAACATGTTTTTTTTTTCAAGTATATTGATAGCTTTACCAATGACATCTTTTTGAAACAAAATTATTTTTCCTCCTCTCTTCAAATAAATTTTTACTATCTTCATAAAAAGTGAAGTCAATAATTATTAAAATATTTTTGTAAGTAATATGTTCTACAATTTCCAATATTTTAGTTATCATTGCTCATTTTTACTGATGTCATCGTTACCAGCAAAAAAAAACCATTTCAAGTTTTTGCTTTTGCTATATTTGCAATATCGAATAGCTACGTCATTTAGAATTAATTGTGCTAATTACATACATTTCATTAATTATAAATTGATACATCCACCCTGCTTCTATTTTCTAATTTTTTTAATTCATGATTTTAAAATTCATCAGACTATTTCCATTATAATATTTTAAAATGATTTTTTAAAGTTTCCATATTGAAACAGTTCATTTTTCTTATGTTCAAAATAATATATATATATAATATTATATATTGATTTCGTGTTAAACAATCTTTTGTAAAATCACAATAACGATCAGAATTTCTTTTTTATCTTTTATCATATTAATTATTTTATAACGAAATATTCTTACTAAATTGGAAATATTCAGCAAAACGGATATGATCTTATCACTGTTATGTTGATCAAAATTTGCAATTAATTTGAAAGTAATTCAAGTGGAACTCTAACATTACATTTATTGATTTTTGGGCCTGAAATTTATGTTGCTATTAGTTTTACAAACTTTATTTCTTTAATTTCTGACGAAAAAGGAAAAACGTAAATGAATTTAAAAAAGTAAAATATTGTCAATAAATTTCAATTTTAACAAACTGTACGCTAGAAAGATACATTTGTTTCATTTCAAAATGTTTAATAAATATCACAATGAAAAGTACCAATTTTGGCAAAAAAAAAAAATAAAAATTTAGCCTAATTTGGAAGTTGGAAAGTTAAAATTTTTGCCTTACAGGCTCGTTACTTTTTCTATTTGTTTAATTTTATACTTGAATTAAAATTTTTGCCTTACAGGCTCGTTACTTTTTCTATTTGTTTAATTTTATACAGTAATTATTTGCTAAATGTTTTAGTCCTCCTCATTTACATGTCATAAATACAAACTTGCACAGAGAGTCGTCGCCTATACTGCTGCATCATTTCAATAGGTGAACAATATATGACTGTCATCATGGCCTAATTCAAGAAATCCCTTGGAACAATATTAGTAATAGACTAACTGAATCATTAAATCATTTCAATTAAACTATTTGCAACATTCAAAACATTCAAATTCTTTAAATCTTCTATTCTGTCACGTTTTTCGTTGCTTCACATAAATTAAACAAAATGAGCAACAACGTACTGAATAACTCTATCAGTATACTTTTGCAAACTTCATTTGTACATCAAAAATTCATTTACTTCATTCTGATAATACCTGAATTATCTCTGTACAGGTAATACTGAAATATTCAAACTTTTACTCTTATGTATGATAATATTCATTGCTTAAACGTCCTTTTTTCAGTCTTCTCCCATAAAAGGAAGTGATAAAGAATGACGGCGAATAATGATTCACTATTTCAAATTGAATACTAACTGAATGCTAATTAAATTTTAACGTTACGTTATAGGTTAGATATATCTGAATTATACTTTAATATTATAGTGTATATCGGGTTAAATAAATTTAATATAATGTTCACATACAAAAGCAAATAAAAAAACGACAACATCTTTTATCGCAAAAAAAAATTAATGCTTCAGAAAAATAATTTTTGAATTAAATACAAGAAAAAAAATGAGGCGAAAAATAAGCAATTATCACAATAGCTATGATACTTAATCAAAGGTTGATAAAGATTGATAGTTATTAAATTTTTTAATTATATAATTTGCCGTTCTGTCATTCTTGCGAAATTAATTAACACTGTGATAAATGGAATGTACCAATAATGATAAAAGAAAAAATGCTATTATCCGGAAAATTATTGTATCCATAAATTGAGCAAATAATGTAAATACATCAAATAACATGTGGTAAAAGTAGAAGATGAATGAATGAGGAAGAAAAATCAAATTTACGCAAATTTTCTGGATTAAATTTTTTTTTAAATCAAGAAAAATTTTTTAAAAGCATATAAATGTCTATATACAATAAATATATTAGTAATATTATAATATTCCTACCAAAAAATTCTACATTTTTTTCTCAAAATTATCAAATAAATTGGAAAAGTTTGTGATAACATTTGAACACAATGTGAAAAGAGAGGCGTTAAATGCATGAGCAAAATTATGGTAATTTAACAAAATTGATTTTGATAACCCTGACTAGTCTTTTTACATTGGAATTGCAAGATAATATCACATCGCGAAATATCGGGAAGTTTTCTTTTTTTTTGTTAGATATTCTTTCTTTTTGCTGTACAAAATGATGAAACAGTTCAGTTAAATCAAAAAAAAATTGCATGAAAAGCAAAATATGATATTAAAATATGCTAAAAATTTTGAATAACAAAATCAAGATAAGTTTTAGACGTCACGTAACACGTCATGAAATGTTCACACGTAGAAGAAAAAATGAATACCTAAAAAAATGAGAATAAAGGTAAAAATTAGACTAAACCATTCATTTTTTTTTAAAAAAGAAAATTTTCCAGCAATAATATTTGTATAATTCCTTACTCAAAAGTGTTTTTTTCATAAATATATTCATAAAACAAAAATATGAACGAAAAAAAAAAACAAAATAAATATAAAATGATAATAACATCAAACGAATGCACTACGATAAATGAATATTTTATTAGAAAAAAAAGGAGAGAAAAGTTTGATGCAAAAAAAAATATAAAATTAATTAACATTAATTTAGCATTTGTTAGCTTAGCTGGTAATTTTTTTTTTTGTTCAATTTTGATTTCTATTACTATGAATTTGGTAAATTCGAAATGAAATCGTTTCTTTTAAGCTAAAATAATTCATAGTTACAATTAGATTGAAACGATGATCATAAATTCATTGATGATGCAATATAATAGTCATCATTTTCGAGATATGCTGTACAATGTGATGATGATGATGATGATGCTGTCCAAGCTGATAAATATGATGGCGAATTGATATCGGAGACATTGGTCGATTGCAGTTGGATTGGTGATGATGGATTACTAAATATTCATTTATTAAATTTATTAAAATATTACTAAATATTCATTTCCTTGATGTATGTTATTATAATGAATAAATGCAAGCCATATTATAAAAGATGACAATTAATGTAAATTTGAAAATTTTCTAAATAATGTTGTAATTTTTTAATTTTTTGGATTTTTATTGCCTAAAAATAACCTCATTTCTAATAATGTTAATAGTTTCCTTTTTCACTTTTTTTTTTTAAAATTATTAAATGACGGTAAAAAAAGATATGAAAAAAATATTTCATTAAAATATATGTAAGAATTGAAAATTGGAACTGAAAAAGGCAATGCATGATTAATTATTATTTCTTTCGGTGGAAGTGCAGAAGATGAGGGAGGGATGTTTGATAAGAATAGGAAAAAGAAAAGAAAAATTGTAATTAGTGCTAAATTTGCAAAAATTTTTGCATTAATTATTATTGAATTTCTATGCAAGCAGTTCAAAATTAATAAGTGATAGCTTCTAGAAGGTTATCCTTCGTTCCTCACTTTGAAATAAGCTAAGTTTTTAATTATTTAAAAAAAAAAGAGGTATATTTTCAATGTACCTTTTAAATGGATCGATAGTAAATGATAATGGTGTATTGACCGTTGGTGAATATCTACGATATGATGACTCGTCGAAATCATTAATTATGTCAACAGCAGGTGATGATGTATTGGAAGTATTGTTTAATTGATTTGAAAGAGGACTATAATAGAAGAGAAAGTTTTTTTTTTTTTTTTTCTAAAATTCTGCTTGTTGCAATTTTTTTGGCATTGCAACATTAAGTGATATTTGAAAAATCAAAAAAAAAAATTTTATTTTAACCCAGCAAATATTCCAAATTATTTATGTTGTATCAATCTAGAATATCGATAACTCTATAAAATTGAATTTAAATTGAATTTACAATGTAAGTATGCTTGAATAGTTTATGATAATTGATTATAGAATTGAAAAAATGGTGATGATAAAAGAGGTAAAACTATAAAAAAATGGTGCTTTCAAATGTCAATTTTAAAAATTGAACTTTCGAAAAACGAAAAAAAAAGACCTTTCCATATCATCGTACGAAATTGAATTGCTTAAATTCGATGCTTTCAATCTTTCCGCATATAAATTTTTCATCAATAAACATTCTGGAAAAAAATTAAAAAACAAGGAAGAAAAACAACGATCTTCTCAAAATATTTTTATTTTTTAATAGTACTTTTTGGCAGCAAAAAAATGATAATAAAATATTAATTGGAAATATATTGCGAGCAAATATAAAATGCAATATCGATTTCTTTTTTTTTTTCATACTACTCTTTAACGATACTACTTAACTAAGCTATTAAGTTCTCTTAACTATCCATTTAATTACTTAGACTCTTATATAAGTAAGATTAGATTGATTTATCTCATGTTTAAATACAAAGCAAAAAAAAAATTAAATAAAGTATGGAAAATGCAAAATTGATCATTTTAGACAGAGCATAGGATGCTAGTTTTAGTAAGCGTTAAAGAAATGTTTAGTTCAAAATGATAACAAGTCTTTTTCATAAGCCTTAAAATGTCTCATTTTTAAATTTTATAAATAGAACAAAAAAAAAAACAGTCCTAAAAAATTACCAGAATTTAAACGATCAGAAATTTTTCGTTCTTTTGTTTCGGTTAAAATTAATTCTTCCATTAATTGATCAATATTTGCGACACCTGATAATTTGAATACTAGGACATCCTCACAAACTGCATTAGCTAATGCCTGCAATACTGCTTATGAGATAAATAGAGTTAAACAATATGAAATGTCAGAATTTCTAAATTTATTTTTAAATTTCCAATAATAGAACATAAATAATGTGAAAGTATTTATCACTGGCAATCATTTACTGTAGTAAATTTTTCTGCTTCTGTCATTTCGATAATCTGATCAGGAGGATTTACCGAGATAATTGAATTGAAAATATATTTCATTCTTAGCAATAACTATTAAAATAAAATTTTCGATATTGCACTTTGCTTTTTTTATCAAATTTTTATAACGAAAATTTATCAAATTATCAAATTGATACTGTTAATTCTCTTTTTTGAAATAATTAACAATGAATCTAAAAATAAAGTTCACCAATAAAACCAAATATTTTCATGATTTATAAGAGTGTATTAGAAAGATATAAATTAATTAACCTGCAATGGTGATAATATAAAAAATGTAAGATCACCAATTCTGTTAACATCACTTGGAATTTTCATGCTAACATAATGTTCCAATGCTGCAAATATACGTCGACGGGTTGCTAAAATATCCATAACGCTTCCACTTGATAATCCTTTTGCTACTGTAATAAACAATAAACACAATTTAATATTTTCATATTAAGCCTGTTTAACTCTAATTTTAATTATAATCCAATTTAACATCTATCGAACTTCAATTTACTTTTGAAAAACACATTTTTCCATAATATTTCTCATAATATTTCATAAACGATAAAAAATGATAAGAATATTTCATAAATGAGAGAGATGATAAGATTTTGATGAATTTACTATAACAGTGCAACAATGCTTATGATTTTTCATAAAAATCTTGAAACACAAAAATCTTTTTTCAATTGTGAAATTTAGAGAAAGAATGAAGAGATTTTAATTATAGCAGTTAACCGGGATTGAATAGAACGCAAGCTTTTAATGCAACAAATTCAACGTCATCAATTTTGAGAAATTTCATTGGTGCAACAAGTTGATCCATAATGCGTTCACAATCTCGAAAATAGATATTTCTGAAATAATATTAAAAAATCTGCTATGGATAATTTGATTATGATTTGATGAATTTATAAGTATTTTAACGGTTTTATTAATTGCATTAATTTCATCCATCACTTTTCTCCTCATCATTTCTTTTCCATTCTTTTAGTATTTTCTGACAATTTGTCAAGAAAAAAAATAAAAACACTCAGTATGTAATAATTACGATCAATTAAATTGAAATAAATTTTGTCAATTTTTTTTAATTTCACATAGGAAGAATTTAATAAAATCAATTATTACTTTTTCCAGTTATCTAGCATAAGTAAATTATGTTCAATCAGATTGCTAATTGAGTAAACAACTCAATGGCTAATGGAACTAACAGATAGCGTTCATTTGACAACTTCTATCAATTATTTACTCTACAATACTTCCAAATAATAAATAATGCCAAAAAAAAAGAAATCATACTCGAGATATTCTGTACTATCATGATCACCACAACGCGGTATGCATGAATCGTTAAGTAATTTCAGAAAATCGGAATTATCTTTCGAACGGTATGAAACACCGAGAATAATATGCTGTGAAGCGTAATTCTTTAGCAGTGCTGTCTAGAAATTCGATAATTAAAAACTTGTCAGAATTTAAATGAAATGATATATATACGTGTGTGGGTGTATGTTTGTGATAAATTGATATCATATATTCTTTCTAATTAATCACAAATCACCATACATATTAATTAGGAAATTTATTATTAATGCAAACAATAATCACAACGATATAAAAGATTGATATAATCTATTATCAAATTATCAATCGTTTTCTCACTGTACAGCTTTACTACAATTTTCAAAATACCATTTAACATCAGTGTTGTAGGAAATAAAATATTGATTGACGATGAAATATAATGAAAAGTTAGCTTTGCAAATTTCTTCAGTTCATTTGAAAAAACTGCTTTAAAAAGTGACAAATATTTATCATATTTCATTTTAAATGTTAAGTTAAAATTCATAATATGAATGACTGATATTTTTTACACCCTTCTTTAGTTGATAATTTTCAAGAATCCTGAAACTATATACTATATTACAATTTGCTCCTATACTACATCATTATTACTTATTCCTAATTTCACTCAAATTAATAATATCAGATATCATTCGATCATTTGATGATAATAACAATCCAGCTTACTGTACCATAGAAGAGAAATGAAAACCGGAAAACCTGATCATCAGTTGAGAGTGCTGCAAACGGAGAGAGAGTTTTAGCCCATTCGATTACAAGTAATAACTGACTGTGAATACTCGTATAAATATCCTTAATGGTTGCTGTACGGCCAGCATCACTCGTCCCATACTGCAATTTGCATATAAATTTTCGAAAAAAAAAAGGAAAAAGCACTCTATCCGGAAAAGAAAAAATCATCGGAATATTTTCTATTTTAATCAGTAATTCAAAATGATAATGTTTTCTGAAACAATACTGTAGAAAAATATGCTAAAATTATATTTTTTACAGAAATTAATGTAAAATAACAAAAATGATAAAAATGCTGCAACAAAATATATGCTATAAAATTTTTAAAATTTTTACTTGACAAAAAATTTTCCTAATTAAATACTGAAAAAAAAGTTCTTTTTCCGAGTTTTTTTATTGTTTACCAATTGATTTTTTGTCCATAATGGGACATCGGTTTGCTTCATAATTGTTTCTCTCAAACTTTGCATTTTTTTCTCAGATAAAAGAAGGCTTTCCAACAATGATCGTGGCGTATCCCATGATGGTAATGTTGAAATTGTTGAGGAAGACGAGGAAGAAGTTGTTGAAGAAACCGTAAATTGCCTGATAATCAATAATCATTTTATCGAAATGACAAATGATAGGGTTTTGAAAAAAAAAATTGATGAAAAGTTAAATTAATCATTGAAAATATAAATTGTCTGATAATGAATTACCATTTCATCAAATCAATTAATGAAAAATTGAATTAATCGCTGAAAGCATAAATTGCCAGATGTAACGCAAATTAATAATGATTAATCATTTATTAGGTAATTATTTGATAAGTGATAAGTCTTGAAATTACTGATTGAAATACCCATTGCGAGAAGATTGCTTCCGATTGGTTGTTGTTTTAGTCTGTTCTAACTTTATATTCGATAATCCATTACTGGTAGTACTTTGCGCTACAGCAGCGATGACACTCGTCGAGGGTAACGATGTTGACGGAGTACGATTCCGTCTACCGATTACGTCACGCTCATTTTGCACTGCTGAACAGAAAAAGTGATTGATCTAAGGATGATTAAAGTTTGAAGTCGAAATAATTCACTACCGTAATAAGTAGGAAAATTATTGCGGCTATTACTCTAATACAGTATGGCTGAAAATATGCAAACTTAGCATGCATTAATAATATTAGCATACTTAAAAGTTATTAATAATAGCATCAAGTTTGAAATTACTTAGATATTCACAATAACGTATTAAAAACAAAAATATTCGTCAAACAATTATTGCTAATGTAATGTTTGATATCGCTTCATTAAAAACTATTAGCATTTGAAATATTATTATAGATATCAGTCATTAAAAAATAATGTTTAAATTGATTGAATTAATAATATCTGCTACCTTATAAATTGGATCAATGAGAAAATAGTAATAGTTGAAAATTGTGCTTAATAATATCTACTAAAAATAATACTTATGAATTAATAAATTGAAATATCAAATAATCTTACCAGAACAATACTTGTATGGAAATAACTAATTAACATTATATTGAAATGCTCATTGAAATAATGAACAGATTTTTAAATTCCTCTTATTTGGAAAAATTTGTACTGTTTAAAATGTGTATGTTATCAAATTACTTTTATTTTTATACGGTTTTTTTCTTTTTTAATTTCCTTCACTTTTGCATTGTTGTTATTCACTTTTCTCATTTTCAATTTGATATTTTCATAACTAAATACAACTAATTAAATACCAAAAAAGCGTACTATTTCGTTCACTTCTTCCCTTTTATTTTTGCTAAGTTACATTAATCTAAGTTACATTAATAAGTGCTAAAACTGTCAAAAGTATTAAATAGTTTATATTCTTCTAAACTAAATTAATGATGTTTAACCAAGCAATTAAAATTAAACTATTAGCAATTTTCAATGGTATGCTTCCGCATTACAACAAGTTTTAACATTTATTATCTGTGATAAATAATAATCAAAAATAATTCGAGAAGTAATTTTGATTCACAAACCATCTATTTTCATTCCAGCATTAACACAACGCATATAGCGACATGAGCGGCAAACTGCTCGATTATCTGTAAATCAAGCAATTTTTGAATTTGAAGCAATCGAATTTTTAAATTTCCTTCGTTTTTAGCAGAAAAAAGAGAAATAATTTTGAAAAAGAAAAAGGAAAGAAAGAATTTTTTTTAAAATTAATTTCATAAAATTTCTTTTACTTTGATGACGAAAATTAATGGAAAGCGGAAAATTGTGCGATACAGTAATGTAATGCGATGCGCATTTGTTTGCGAAAAATAAAATGACGAATTCAAAAAAAAAGGAAAAAACAAAGGAAAGCAAAAAAAAAAAAACAACCACAGGTTTCAATAAATATACCTCAATTTTTGTAAGATTTCCTTCTTTATTTTTTGTTTTCCTTTTGTTAAACTAATTTTTTTTGTTGTATTAACTAAATAATCATTTCTTTTCAACTTTTTGAAATGAGAAAATTAGCAACAAAAAAATGTTTAGCTTTTTTTTAAACTTTAAATGACATTTTTAAATAGACGAATTCTTATCTGTCACAAGCAAATATTGATTTACAGTTATTTACAGTAAATCAATTTACTCAATTATATGATTAATTAGTTTTCAGCATATCATAATTCTTTTTTCTAACATTGAAACATCGTCGTTTTTTGTACCTCTATTTATTCAATATTGATTAAAATCGAAATTAACCTGCTTTTCAGAAATTATCGGTTTCTTAATTTTTTTTCGAAAGATTTAATTAAATAAAAGCGACAAATGAAAGCAAAAGTTAACAAACATTTTAGAAACAAAAAAAATTATTTTTAAAGTTATTTCAATTTCTGAGCGCGTATAAACTAATGAAAGAATAAGTGAGAAAAGTGGAAAAGCAATTACATATTATTTTGTAAAGAGTTCGTACTACATGTGAAAATGGTTGAAGAAAATTCATATGTTGTATAATATAAAAGCCTATTTGGAAATGAAATTTCTTTAAAAAAATTTTCCTACAAATAGCTTACGTTTATCAATATTGCAATTATTACTGAAGCGACACGTATATCTATAACCACGTCGAATAGTTCGCCTGAAGAAACCTATAAAGAAAAAATTACTAATTGAGCTAAATTAAATTTATTTCTTAATTCAATTTAATTAATCATTTTTTCCTCTCAATTAATTTTTAAGTGAAAAAATGAAGTCTTACTGCATTATCATGATATTGTAGCTGAAGAACGAATAATATTCTGTTTGAAAGCATAAATTTCAATATATCGAATGAAATTATCGTTTCGAAAATTTGATGACAGTTTAAATCAGAATATCAAATTTTCATTTCAAAAAATTGATGATATAAATAGCTTTAATTAGAACTCATTATTAAAGTTTTGCATATAAAAAAAATGAACATTTGATTTCGGATAATGAAAAACGATGAAAGGAAATAAGAAAATTAAATGGTTTCTTCCAAATATATTCTCATACTGAATATTTAATTAATAAAAATTAAGTAACAAAGGGTGCAAAATATTCGGTATTGGTAATTATAAAACAGATCATTTTTCTCCTTAATTAAATTCTTGATTAATAATCAAATAAATTAATAAAACTTATAAAGCAAATCATTTTTCCCTCAATTAAATTCCAAATTAGTAATTAAATAAATTAATAAAATTTGGGATTAATATTTACAATATTACCTTTACATCCATTACATGCAATCGTTCCATAATGTCGACCTGTTGCCTGATCACCGCATACTGTACACAATAAATCATTACCATCTAAAAAATTATACGATATTATGAAATAGTAATTAATTGTAGTATTAATTATATTTGCAGCAATTTCTCTTATTTCATTATTCTTTCTTTTTTATTGCAATTATCATTGTTTTTATTGATTGTCATTAATATTACAATTTTTTGTGAACCTTCACTAATTTCATTCACTCTTGCTGATTTACTACTCTATAATTACCATTCTTTTACCTATTATCATAAACTGTTTTGCATTATTTTTCATTTTTGTTTATTTATTAATTAGCATTGAATTTGCACAAAAGCATTCACATTTACTTCCATTACTGGTGTGGCACTAAAGGCTTGAATTAATTTATTTTCAATTATTGCTGAGAAAAATTCAAATTTTAAACATTTCGATCATTATTACTATGGATATTATTAAGAGTAGTAAAAAAGAATGTTATCATGGAATTATTGCAACATATATTTGTTGTTTACCTAAAATATAACGTAGTACTAAACCTATAATACAATATAATCTAATTTTAACACTTAAAAATTTTTTTTGGATAATTGACAAATTACATAATTTAAATATTAATTGTATAATAAATAATTCTATAGTAGTTACGACTTATAATCATAGTTACATACAAATCAAATTACTTAACTGATGCAACTTTTACTCTCAAAATTTTCAATCATAACTTTTTTACTGCTAAACGTTAGCTTCTTATCAGATCACGGAAAAGAAGCGTATATTTTGACGTATCAAACAGTTGTCATTTCACTAATCGATACAACTGTATCAATAATTCTAATTGATAATTTAATCATCAAATGAGAAATTAGTATGACTGAATTAGCAAGCCCTTGTAAAATAAATAGCAAAATTGTTGTTAGTATTGAACCAGTTAATGTAATTTATTATTTATTATAAAATATTATGATGTGATAATCACATTTTATGATAAGTAATATTATCACATTTTATGATGAGTACTATTAACAATGTATTCAATATAATCATACGGTAGAATTAAACTACTAATTGAAAGGATGAAAATGAACTTTTTTCGGTGTCATCAATATCTTTTACGGTACTTTCGGCTTTCAACATCTCATGCATCCGAAAATATCGTAAATTTTACTCCAGTTTCCTCGTTACTCTTTTTCTTGAAAATTAATGATTATGGTCACAACAGTTTCACACGAATATTATCCTGAAAACTGTAGACAAAAAATAGTATGAATTTTTTCCACAAAAAAAATGCAATATAAAATAAAATGTAATATCATGAATTGTTCGATTAATAACAGCATCCAATCATCAATTTTTTTTTTTGAACAAAAAACGACTGATAATCAATAACTGCTTGCAGTATTATTATCATTTCTCAAAAATTCGACAATATCAAAATTGTAAATGATTTCGCATTTTTGGTTCATTTGAGAAAAAATTAGCGAAAAAGAAGAATTGACGAACAGTTAAGCGTTATTACAAAAAAAGACTGTAACTATTTAGCAATTTGAGCTAATAACTTTTTTCCATACCTTTTTTTTACAGTTTCAATTATTATTAAACATAGTTCTAACAAACATATCGCTCATTTTTCATTTTCATTCTCATTATCCTTATCACTCCATATTTACCATAATTATTATCATCATTTATTTTGCCAAGTAATCACTTTCATCATTATTGTCACTATCGTCAATATTGATAGCACTGTCACTATTATCATTACTGATATTGCATTAATATCGAATGCAATAAGCATATTATGCAAATTTTGTCCTATTTGTTGCATTGGTATATTTTTTTCTTAAATAAAATTTTTATAGCAATTAAGTCTATTAATTCAATTTTAGGTATCACTTTTGTAAATTTAAAAAAAAAAAATGCAAAAATCTTTCTAAACGAAAAGAAAATTTCTCAATACTGCATTGAAAAAAAGAAAAACAATGGAAAATCGTTCAGTATGCGGGAAATTAATTTATTGAAATTGATAACTGAAATAGAATTTGTTCAATTTTTGCATCTGATAAAAGGCATTGAAAATAAATGCTGGGAAATGAACAAAAAGAAAAAAACTTATCTTTAACCAAATGATATTATTTTTTATTGTAGAAAGGTAATTGCATTTTTTGTGTTTTTTTTTTATTAAGCATAAAGAGAAATTAAGCACAAAAAGAATGAATTATCAATAAAAATATTTTTTTGACATTAATAAATTTAAGCAGCTGTTTGTAATGATTAAAAAAAAAAGAAAACTTAAAATAAAAACAAAATGAAAAGAAATACTTGAAAACTAATCACTCAATTATGTTTGCCAATATTTGCAAAAATTAAATTTTTACTTGAAAAATTCGCAGATTTAGAAGGCGTAAATAGATTTGACTAATTACTTCAAATACACAAATTTAATCAATTACTAATAGTAATGATTATATAATTCATTACAATATGTATTTTTGAGAGTCATATAGTGATAAACAAAATGCTTCCTAAACGAGAAAAAAGAGACGGAAATAAATTGGACGAAGTGACTTATATCATTTCTTCATTTTCAATTTACTTCATTTTTTCCAGTAAAATTACTTACACCATCAAAAAAAACGTAATTTACTTTTGTTGTGATATTGTTAAATTATTTATTCTAACATTATTTTATAGCATTTCATCATTAATTCCTATCAAAAAATATTTTGAATTTTTCTCAGAGGAGAAAAAACTAAGGATACGGTCAGATTTTAATTGTAATATAACGTTCAACAAATATCAAAATTAAATGAACAAATTTTGCTTACATGGATAAAATTTTTTTTCTTTAAAGTTTTTAAATAAGGCAATGATAATTCATGCCATTTCAAAGAACAAAAAAGAAACAATAAAATAATGGCCGTTTTTGATTTCTTCCGCTTAATTTCATTCAATTTATACGCTCAAATTGTCATTTGCATGAGCATTTTAATAAAATGCAATTTCTAGTAATTCTCTTTCTTTCTTCTTTTTTTGCTGACTAATCACCTAAAAAAAAAGTAAATTAATTTCCTAATTAATCAATTCTTGCGATTTAAAATTTTATGAAAACAAGTTGGGTAATGCAAAAGAGAGGAACAAAGGATAAAAAAATAAAATAAACGAAATGATTGAAAATTGCACACAAGCAACTGTTACGAATTAAATTGAAGAGTTTTGAATTTTCGGGAAATTGCAGAGAGAGAAAGGAAAGAAGGTTGAATGAATTGACTGATAATTATGGAACACACAAGACGAATTATCTTTTCCGTCCTTCATACTAAATTATTTTTCGTTAAAGTTTTCAAAATTTATCTATACGTATATTGTTAAGAGAAATTGGAAGTTCTTTAAAATCTAATTATTTAGTGTAATTTTAAAAAAAATCGCATTGAAATTTTTAAAGAGGATAAATCAATTTTTAAAAATTACGTTTTTATTTTTGAAAATATTTTACAATATTATTCAATATATTCCACTAAAAATAAAAAATATGAGAAGTAAAAAGTCAGGAAACATTATGATAATTTAATTCTGCTAAAGGTTTAATTATAACATAATTTATTACGAATAACGAGGACTACTGAAATTTTTATTTACATTTAAAACTATCATCAGTGTAGTAATTTTAAGGATATTCAAATATTAATGGGTAGCAATATTTCTAAAAAAAAATTTATTTTTAAAGTAAAAGTGTAAAGCCATGAGTAAATTGGACATTTTAACGATAAATAAATTTTGATTGTCGCAATAATTTTTGAGTTTATGTTATCACTGATATTCTACGATATGATTTTTGAATTTTAGTGCCTTTTATATTATATAAAATGTGATTGCAAATCATGAATTCATTCAACAAACTCATTCAACAAAAGTTCGCACACATTGATTTCAATTTAATCTACAATAATTCAAATCATTTTTTTTAATCCCTCAGATTATTATAGATCAGAATATTTTTAACATAATAAACACACACATACAAATATATGCTTATATAGGATGGAATGAGCATTTTTAAAAAATGCTACGAAAATAAATTCTTAATTTATGAGTAGAGTTATAGGAAAAAAATTACAAAATTAACTATTTATGATCATTTGTTATATTCAAATCAAGCAATGAAAAAAAAGTGAATAATCGATATTCTCTAATTAATATTCCTAACTGAGAAAAACTAAAATATGCTGAAGATTTAAGAGAAAAATTTACAAATAAACGATGAGTTTTACGCTATACTGTTATATTGTTGTAAGTTTTTTACGTTACACATTATACTCTTATTTGTAAATTATATTTCAAAAAAAATTTTTTTTTTTGTTTCCACTCAAACATATACTTTTGTACGAAGAAAATTTCTCTCGATCGAAATATATACTGAGAAGTATCGGGAAAAAAATGAGGAATAGCAAAAATCATTTATAAAATGATTATATATACATATGTGTTGTTAATAATAAAATTAAATTCCACAAGTAACATTTATTCACAACGAGTCGTCGTTTTAACCTTTACCTAATATTGA